GCAAAGTCGGCAAACCCACTTGGCGGCGCGCTCATCAAGTCGACTGCGAGCGTTGGCTTGGGCTTGACGCCCTCTTGTGTGCCCGACGACGTCCGTGACGGCGGTTTGGCGGTCGCTGGCGCCGGTTTGGCGGTCGCTGGCGCCGGTTTGGCGACCGCAGGCGGCGGCGCGGACCCTTGCTTGGGCAGCGGCTTGTCGGCGAGCATCGCGTCGACGCACGCAATGACGTCGTCGATCGTCGCACGCTCGTCAACGTCCTCGGCCAGCATGCGCTTCAGGAGCACGGGCAAGTCTTTCGAGTACGAGTTGGGCGGCACCGTGTACTTGGACGTGCGAAGGCCCTCGGGCGGGAACGGCGGCTTGAAGAACGCCATGTTGAAGAGGACGCAGCCGAGCGCCTACAGATATGTTGAGAGATTGCCTTTGTATCAAGTTGTTCGACCCAAATATCGACGGCTTCGGTGAGACGCGCGGCGCCAAACATGGCCGTGCCTTCAATGTCGGCGAGCTCGGGCGACCGGTACATGGCGGTCGTACGCTTCTCGACCATGTCGATCTCGGCGTTGCGGTCGGCCTAGACCGATGGAGGATTGACGACTCCTAGGACGATGCATGAGGGAGTACCTTGGTCTCGAGTGTGCGCGGCCCCTCGACGCACGAGCCAAAGTCGCAGAGCTTGTACGTGTTGTTTTTTGCAAGCAGGTAGTTTTCCAGCTTGATATCGCGGTGCGCGACGGGCGGGTCGTGGTGGTGCAGCAGTCGTAGTGGCCTACGCCCATAATGGTCCAGCACCATGCATATTGAGGAGGCGGCGTACACGCAAAGCGACTTGAACGTCGTGAGCAGCTCGTGTTGGCTAAAGCGCTTCTCGCCCATCTTGCGCATGTTCTCGTACAAATGGCCGCCGGGGCAGTACTCCATGAGGATGTACACTTCGGTCTCATGGCGCTCCTTGCGCTCGGCGTAGTCGACAAACTCGACAACCGTTGCATGCTTGAAGCGCTGCTGGAGCGCAATCTCGCTCTTGATGAGCTCCATGGACGGCTACCACGCATGAGCCCTCGTCGCGTCCACGCAGCCTACCCCGTCGTTGGCGACGACGCGCTTGAGCACATAGGGCTGGCCCGACCGCGCGTCCTTGACGAGGAAGATGAAGGAAGACCCGCCTTCGCCGAGGTACTTGACGACCTCGACCTCGTGGCGGCCGACGGTTCCTGTCCGCCCGACCTGCGCCTGCGCGTTGCCCATCGATCTTCGCACTGAAGATCGCGTTGAAACCGATCGTGGTATCCGGACCAATCCGGATTTATCCGGAATCACACAAGTACATACATTGATCGTACATCGTACAAGCAATGAAACGACCGTACATCGGCAGGCTTCGGCGCCATGGCCGCGTGCGTGGTCATCGCCAGTACCAGGACGACGCGGGCGACAGCTTGCTGTTTCATGCCCATGGCTTGGCTGCTACAGGCTGCTATCGTAGCGGCCACATATCGCGCATCACCATGTTGCCGACCCCGTCGTTCCATTTGACCAAATATCCGGATACCGCGATGTTTCCGGATGGCTGCGGACTGCTCGTCCTTTCTTGTTGCCGTCATCACCCACGTCGCTGTAGCGAGGATACGAGCAGCTCATCGACTCCTTGCATACCGTAAGCTCCCCGCAAGGTCTGAGGACGAAGCGTACGAAGAAGCATTGACCATGTATTGCTATGGCACGCTATCAACCCTATTCGGCTATGGTCCATCGCCTGGCCCATGTCATCCGATAGCGATCGCCCGCCCTTGCGAATCCTGTAGGAACGGCGCGTCTCGACTCTATTTTCTTATTTCCAAGGACAGAACGACATGGTAGTATATAATAGTAAATGCTACAGCAACGGGGTCCATGCCGAGGATCGCTGACACTGAAGCGTCGGCGCCAAATGTTCGTATACGTGGCCACGGAATGTACGGGATGTACGTTCATGTACGGAATGACTGCAGGTGGGCGCTGGAATTTCTGCATTTTGTCCAATCAGATGCGTGCAATCGCGTGCACCGAGGCTTCTGATTGGTCAATGGAAAATGAGGCTGCTAACTGACTTGGTGGCTGGCACTTGAGTTTTTCATCACTGGTACCGACGAACATGTCCTTGGTGTCCCGCAACGTTGCCGCGATCAAGTACGCTCCATCGAGATACGCGAGGTAGACGCTCATGATGGCCTCGCTTCTGTAGGGTCGCTGGCGCCCGTGGCATGGCCACGGAGAAGCAGAGTATGTGCAATGCAGCGAGCGCGATGCAGGTGGCTCATGGCGATGCGTAGTTCTCATGCGTATCAACGCCACGTCCAACATCGCCAAGATCACCAAGTCGATGAAGATGGTGTCGGCCGCCAAGATGCGTGGTGCCGAGCGTCGCATGAACGACGGCCGCCCGTTCGCCGTACGTGCGCCCATACAGCGACCTGGCCGTCTCATGCGCTTGTGGTGTAGACGTGGTTGGAAAACACCAACTCGAAGCTTCGCATCTACGAGAAGGATGGCTACGTGCCCGCCGAGGAGCTCAAGGAAGGCCACAACACGTTTGTGCCCATCACGTCCGACCGTGGTCTCTGCGGCGGTTGCAACTCGTACATTGCCAAGGCCATGCGCCTCCAGATCAACGACGTGACGGAGAACTCGAGCATCTTCACGATTGGTGACAAGGGCCGCGGCCAGCTTCGCCGCACGCACGGCAAGTACATCATTGGTAACGCCACGGAGACGTGGATCAACCCGACCAACTTTGCCAAGGCGTCGGCGCTCGCCGAGGTCGTGCTCTCGATGACCCCGGCGGACGAGAAGCTCCACGTGATCTTCAACAAGTTCCAGTCGGCGATTCTGTACCAGCAGTCGATCCGCACGATCAACACGGACCCCGAGACGTACGCCGACTATGAGCTCGAGCCGGACAACAAGGAGGAAGTCCTCCTCGACCTCAAGGAGTTCCAGCTCGCGACCGCCATCTTCCACGGCATGCTCGAGTCCAACACGTCGGAGGAGTCGTCGCGCATGACGGCCATGGAGAACGCGTCGAGCAACGCGTCCGACTTGATCTCGAGCCTCCGCCTCGTGTACAACAAGGCCCGCCAGTCGCGCATTACGACCGAGCTCATCGAAATTATTTCCGGCGCGGCTTCGTTGGACGCCAAGCAGTAAGAAGCAGAGGACGAAGATGAGACGCACGCACGCTCCGATCAGCCAACGATGATGATAAACGGATGTCTTGTGCAACACGCTGTACCTTGAATGTGACTTGGCCTTATTGCCACCAAAGACCTCGATCGATAGTCCACCAGCTTCTGCTTGCAATACCTTCCAGCCTGGGAGCTGGGCACCGGAAGCAGACGCAAAACCCACTGGCACACGCTAACCTACAGGTAAGCACATCCGTGTGTCGGATGTGTGGACAACGAGCCTCTGATGAGCATTGATGAGGCGATGCTAGCGTCGCCACAGGCCGCAGAGATGGGCGGAAACTGCGGTCGGCGCAGCGGGCCTTCGACTGCCCGGTCTCGGGGGCGATAGAGCTGGATGCAACGTGGCTGGCTTCGTCGAGAGTCCTGCATGTAGCAGCCTCGATGACTACCAACGCAGTGCCATGTTGCAAGCAGCGTGCTCCTTCGTTGTGGATGGACGGCGAGTTGGCGCCGATTTCGCCCACGGCCAAGTCCCACAGGCAATATTATCATATTCGCCTCAATATACGGAATTGGACCCACTTCGTCGCCATGGCACTTGTGGTTTGTATAGGATGTTTCCGGAAAAAGACAGTTGTGGTCGTTTAGCTCGCGAGGTATCCGGACGCAGTCATTTCAACGATGGACGCCCACAAAGACCGCGCGACCGCGCTCTTCCAGGCCGGCTCGTTCGCCGAGGCCATTGGCAGCTACAATGACGCGCTGGCCTGCGCCAATGTCCCGACCGAGATGCAGTGCACCTTGCTGAGCAACATGGCGCTCTGCCATCTGAAGCTGCGCGACTTCGCGGCCGCGATCGGCTCCGTCGACGACGCGCTCGCCAAGGCCCAAGCCTCGCGCGTGCCAGATGCCATCATGGAGAAGCTCCTCTTTCGCCGCGCGCAGGCGTACATGGAGACGGACCAGCTCGCGGCCAGTGCGCGCGACCTCAAGGCCGTGCTGCAGCTCTCGCCGAGCAACAAGCCCGCCCAGGCCCTCCTGCGGGCGCTGCAAGAGAAGGCGAGAAAAGACGCGTCTGGCGTCGGGAAAGCCCTCAAGGCGCTCCCGTCCCACGACGCGCTGGCGTTCCTCGAGCATCAGTCGCCCGAGAACGCGCCGGCCATTTACCGCGACGTCCTCGACCTCGGCGGCGAGCGCACGCTCTGGCAAACATGCGTCCTGGATGCCAAGGACCGTCTAGTGCAGGCGCGTTGCCTGCGCATATTGACACACATGGCCAAGCAGCACGCTGCGGCAGTGTATGCAGCGATCGACGCGACCCTTCTCGCGGCCTTAGTCCCGATGCCGGTGCCCGCGGACGTAGACGACGCCACGGTCGGTCTGATCGCAGCCGTCGTGTCGCTCACCGGTGTGCTCGCGGCGCACCTCGTGACCATCTCGAACGACATCCAGGCGGCCCATGCGCCGGTGCGGCAGCTCCTCGATGCGACGTTCCAGGGCCTCCGGACGTCGCACGAAGTGCTGCAGCAGGCCACGCTCGACGTGCTCCTCAAGCACGTGCTCCAGGTCAAATCCAACGGCGCGGCGATGGCGCTTTGGATGGAAGAAATGGGTGTCTTCTCGCTCCTCCTCTCCCAAGTGTACGTCCCATGGCATCGCATTGTGATCGCATTGTGATCGCATTTGGATCGCATTTTGATCGCATTTGGATCGCATTTTGATCGCATTTTGATAGGAATCTCTTGAAGGACCGCGTCGCGTCGTCGATATCGATGGTGTTTTCGCAGCTGCTCGCGCTCTTCTCCGAGTCGGAGATGGAGCGGCTAGTCCGCGAGTTCTGCGTCGACCCGGTCGTCGGTGCGTCGAGCATGGAAGACGCGGCGCCTGGCTGCGTCCTGCTCGCGGGTGTCTTTCTCGCCAACGCCAAGCTCGGCGCGCACATGATGCAGTCGCATCCGGCGTTCCTCAAGCAGCTCAGCGACGTCCTCCTGCGTCAAAAGTCCGTTGCGCACGGCCTCAAGTACCAAGAGCTCGTAATGGACCTCGTCGCTTACATTGCTGGTACCTTGATTCGCACTTGGCATGTCTCGACATTGACATGTACATTAGGCTCGGAAGCCGGCATGGCAGCGATCCCGATCGAACTGCGCATGGAGCTTGGGTACGTCAACAACGTGCTTTCGTGGCAACATTCAATTGAAAAAAATGGACAGAAAATTGCTCCAGTGCTCGATGGAGCCGCACCAACTCAAGCTGCAGTCCGCTGCGCTCGCGGCGGTCGTCAAGATGAGCCTCGTCGACAAGACGTTCGATCCGGCGACGCCCGTCGGCGACATTATGACCCACCAAGTGCTCTCGCTCCTCGAGTCCGTGCACAGCGTACGCTTTCTTCACGTTAGGGATAGGGGTCGTGAATTTGCATCGTATAGGCGCCGGTGACTGCGTCGGTCGTCGGGTCCACGGCGCGGGAGCGCGCGGTCGAAGCGCTTTCGTACCTCATTACGTTTACACCGGTCAAGGACGCCCTCGTACGACGCCACCGACGCGTCGAGTCTTATGCAAGAATATTGATCCCTAGGTGCGCCGGCCCAAGGCGCTGGAGCCGCTTCTGACCGACATCTCGGCCACGTCGACGCCATCGAACCTGCTCTACGGCATTTCGTACATTCTCTTCCACTTGCTCACGTCCGAGTCGCACCTCAAGCGCCAGAAGATGCAAAACTCGGAGCTCACGCCCGAGCAGTACGAAGAGCTTCAGAAGGCCCTCAAGCAAAAATCCGAGCTCGACGACGGGGACTCGGTGGAGCAAGTGACCAAGCGCATCGCTGCCGTGCTGGATCATCCCCAGAGCATTTTGACGCTCTTGCAGCTGCTCAAGTGCAAGGGGTCGCCCGCGATCCTCGACCAAGCCACGCAGAGGTACACGACCGATGCTGCGAAGCGAATTTTTGGACATGCGACAATTTTTTGCGATGACATTAGTGTGCTCCATGCGACCGAGTACGTCGAGGGCCGGGGCAAGCTCGTGCAAGGCGGTCTCTTCTCGGCCATGCTGTCGCTTTCGACGCCCCACGCCCGGCACGCGGTGGCCAAGATCCTCATCACGACCAACCCGCACTTGATCCCGGCGTCGCAGCTGCTGTCGTCCATCTATCCGCTCATGGAGCTGCTCAAGGCCGAGTCGAATCTCATGCAGTTTGAAGCCCTCATGGCGCTCACGAATGTGGCGAGTGTCTCGGACGAAACCAAGGCCCGGTACATAGTTGTCTTCTTGCAATATTGTCATCGTTATGTTGTAGCATTCTCTCCAACAATGGCTTGACGACGATCCAGTACCTGCAGTTCTCGGACCACACGATGGTGCGCCGTGCGGCCACCGAGTGCCTCACAAACCTCCTTCCGTCGGACGAAGTACTCGAAAAGATCTTTTGCCAGCCCGAGAAGGTCCGCCTCTGGCTCGCGTTTGCTTCGCTCGAGGAAGCCGACGAAGACATGGCGACGGCCCGTGCCGCGTCGGGTGCAATCGCCATGGTCAGCCAGTATCCTGTCGTACGTTGTCTGAGAATACCATGGCAAACTGCTGAGCCGACTCTAAATACGTAGGTGTGCGCCGTGCTCTTGGAGCAAAAGGCGATTGAGACCTTTGCGCCGATTTTGATCGAGTGTGACGCGCCGGAGCTTGTCCATCGTCACCTCTTTGCGGTCCAGTCGTGCCTCGAGTATGTGCGTACGATGGAGACGCCGGACGTTGAGGCCTCGGGCAAGCAAGCCATGTACGAACAGCAGCTCTTGCTACTCTCGTCGCCGATTGAAAACGTTGCGCGCAAATTTGCAGCCATCTCGCCCGAGATTGTCGAGCTGGCGCACACGTGCCTCGGTCTCTTGGCCAAGCTCACATGATCGTGACTTCAATTTTGGGAAAGGGCATTTTTTTGCTATTTTTTCTTTTTTCCATTTGACATCTTTTCTTTGTTGGAATCGCGTCGCGTACCACGAGGTGGTGTGGCGGACCTATCTACAGTTCGATCGCGGCAGCCTAGTGCTCGCCGTGCTTGCTCACCGACGGCGAAATGCCGGCGCCGTACACCGTCACGACACACTGAATTGTGCTGTTTTCCCACAGCACCGTGCAGTAGCCTAAGGACCTGTCGCACGCAAACTGGGGTTGGTAGACGTACCGTCGAGGACCGTGTCCCAGTAGCAAGCGGCGGCCGTCGCGACGCCCGCGCCCGTTTTCTGCATGATGAGGCACGTGACTAGACATACCAGCCCAACGTGGGACGTCGTGACAAAGCGTGGGGCTACCCGCGTATTTGAACGGCTTGTTGAGGTTCTGGAGGCCATTGAGCACGAGCGCAACGAGCGAGTTGGTCCAGTCGTTGACCTTTTTGCGGTTGTACACGGTGTCCTTGAGGGTCGTCTCAATCGCCTACGCCACGCGTGATGCAGGCTGTCAGCCCATACGACGATTCAGCGTACGTTCTTGGAGATGGGCAGGACGTCGTCGACGCTGAACTCGCTCTACAGGTGCATTGGCATGTGCTATCGTCGAGCCTGCCACGTACATCGCCCGTGTCCATGGTCGCGTGCGCCGCTTCAAGATATCACAGAGTGTTGGTGGCGCAATGTAGGTAAAAGGGACCATTGCGTCTGTACTGAATACAAGTTTTGTGTATACTATACAAATATGCAATTTAAAGAGGCCTATTGCAATTGCGACATTTGAAACGCTTGATGTGAGAGGTATATATGCATATATGTGGATATGATTTAAGTATGCAAAATAGAGATATGACAGTTGGCGTTGTTGTTTGTATATACGTCGAGCATACAATATGCATTTTAAAGCAGAAGCTCCGAAAAATTCGAATCCCACACGCGAGAATTCGAACACACGCGTGTGAAAAGCGGCTGTTTCACCGCTCAGCTGCAAGTGTTCCGATGAAGCGCAAGGCCGACGGGTACAGCTCAGGCGAGGCCAGCCCTCCGCGCGTGCGCAAAGAGATCGAGTGCCCCGGCGCGCCGCGCAAGAGCAAGCGGCGGACCGTGCGCAAGATTCCGCGGCTCGCGCTCGTGCCCCAGGACGACGAAGACGACGCTGCCAGTGACGAGCGCGCCGTCGTCCGGTCCCTCGACGACGAGCTCGCCGCCGCTGCCGCTGCCGACGCGCAAGAGAGCGATAGCCAACGTACGGTCTCAGATGCCGCAACCGCCAGCCCACCAGCGACGCCGCAACGGAGCAAAAGCCCTGTGTCACCGAGCTCGATGCCAAGCACGCCGCCACGATCGCCGGCCGCGGACCTTCCGCCGCCGTCACCGAGGCCAGCGACACCAGCGACGGAGAGCCTCCCGTCAACACCGTCCGTCCCTTCCGCACCTCCTTCGCCGTCGCCGGGCTAAACGCCTGTTCTACCGTGTAGAATGAAACCTCGGACGTTCCAGTCAACGGACGGCGGGGCAGACGCGGCGGCGCACCATATTAGCCCGCCCTGCGGTGCGCTAAAGCCCGCTCGTACAGCGCTTTCGATCGTCAAGCATGACGTGTCGACGCGACAAGGGTCTGTCGCGCGCCGACGCCTCCCGCGGTAAGCACCGCTCCCCTCCACCCGCCCCAAAGGAAAGGCGTGCCCCGTACAAGATCTTATTTTAATAATCCCGACTCTCTATATATGTATTATCTCTTCGTCGTGCCACCGCCGTTTACGATGGCACTGAAGCGTACCATACCATGAGCCACACCCTGCCACGACCGTCATCTCGACAGGAGGAACGGCGCAATTCTTCCATAGAGCAAGGTCGTCTACGTACTGCATTGGAGGCCTTTCCTTCTTATTCTCCTCAACCGCTGCCTTGCGCGATGAGGAGAGTGCGCTGAGCTGCGTCAAGATGGCCGTTTCGGGACGCAAGAAAGGGCTATCCAGGATTGTTAGCACGGACCGACCGTCGACGCGCAGCAACCCAGCAAGCCGTTCCGTAGTGACTCAGCAACACAAGGGACTGCAACGACCTGCGGGTGTACAAGTTGGTGTCCGTGCGGATGCGGCAATGACGGCGTGCAGACCTGCAACCGTAAGCTATCAAGTTGGCAAAAAGCAATTCGGTTTCTCTCAACCGGTTGTCGCAACCGTGCTTTGTCGCGGTTTGAAACCGGTAGACAGGCCGCCGCCATTCTTGGCTCTTGTGAAACTGCAGCGCGGCACTCTGCAATGGACCTCCGTGTCGTGGACCCCGCGGCGCCGGGCAACTTTGCCTCCAACCAGATGCGGACGTCCAAGTACACGCTGCTCAACTTCCTCCCCGTCGCCTTGTACCTCGCGTTTCGCCTCGTACGTCTTCTCTCCCTTCTTTCCCTATCTACATGGCGTGGGCTAGTCGACCAACTTTTACTTTTTAATCATTGCCGTGCTGCAGTCGTGGTCGACGATCTCGCCGGTCGGTCCCATGACGGCCGTGACGCCGCTCGTCCTCGTCGTCGGCATCGTTCTCCTGCGCGAGGCGATCGAAGACCACGTACATGACGCTCCATTGCGATTGCTTCCATTGGCCTCCGCGCATGTAGAACCGCCACGTACTCGATGAGAAGACCAACACGACACCGATTCAAGTGCTGCGGAAAGGCCAGCTCTTGTCGGTGACGTGGCAGGACATTTGTGTACGCCTCATTTTTTCAAGTCGATGCTGCCGTGAGAACACGACATCGTAATGAATACGTAGGTCGGCGACATGGTCGAGATTCACGACAAGGAGTCGTTTCCGGCCGACGGTCTCTTGCTGGCGACGTCCGAGGAAAATGGTATTGTGCCTTAATGACCGTTGGTGACGGACAAGTGCCATGGGTATAGGCGCCTGCCTCATTGATACGAGCAACCTTGATGGCGAGGCCAACCTCAAGACGCGCATTGCACTACCGGCGACGATGGGCTTCTCGATCCAGTCGCCGATACCAGCCTTTCAAGTAAAGTGCGAGTCCCCGAATGTCGACTTGTACAAGTTTACGGGCACGCTCGCGATCGAGTCGAATGTCTATGCGTTGGACGAGCAGCAGCTTGTCCCGCGCGGCTCGACGCTGCGCAACACCAAGTCAATCTTGCTCTGCATCGTCTACACGGGTAGCTCCCATTTTCATTGTTCTTTTTCATACTTTGGCACAACATCCAACTTGGATCTATTAGGCGCCGAGACCAAAATGATGCTCAACGCCAAGCGACCGCACCACAAACTGAGTCATGTCGACAGCATCATGAACCAAATCGTCGTGTTCATCTTCATCTTCCAAGTCGCCTTGTGCGTCGCGGGGGCCATCTACCACAACCTGTGGACGTCCGAGACGGCGTTTGAAGCCCTCTTCGTCACAGGGAACGACGAAGCCGAGAGCGACCTCGTCGCAGGCGTGCTCACGTTTCTGAGTTTTGTGGTGCTTCTCAACACGTTCATTCCAAGCTCGCTCGTCGTGAGGTTGAACGATACCACTGCGACGTTGCGGTCATTTCGAGTGTAGCGTCGAGATTGTCAAGGCGCTGCATGCCAAGTTTGTCGTCTGGGACCTCCACATGAAGCTGCCCAACGTAAGGATCGAGTTCGCATCGGCATTTTAATCATGTTTTTGTTTTTCGTTTAGGGCGACGGCGCCAGCGCCAACACGCCCGCCCTCATGGAAGAACTCGGGCAAGTCAATTACCTCTTCTCGGACAAGACGGGCACGCTCACGGAGAACCGCATGGAGTTTCGAAAATGCAGCGTCGCGGGTCGCATCTACTCGATATTCTCGCCGCCCCCTGCCCCCTCAAGCGGAAAGGAGCTCGAGCTGCCGACGACAACAACAACGACAATGAGTGAAACGACGCTCCAGCACTTGTCGACGTCCAGCATCGTCAACGCGCCCGTTCAAAGTCACCAAGCAAAGGTCTGGTCGCTCTACGAGCTCCAGGAAGCGGGTGAGCGTCCCGGGACTCCCGAAGCCACGTTTATCCAAGCCATGGCACTCTGCCACACCGTCCTCTGCGAGAAGATCCCCAACGACGATGGTGCGTTCGGAATACAGTACATGGCCGACTCGCCCGACGAGGGCGCCTTGGTGCGTGCGGCACGGGAGCTCGGTATGGCATTTACGGGCCGCAACAACCACACGGTAGACCAAATCTCTCTTTTGCTTGTACTCACAGTCTTATGGATGGAATTGGGTAGATGCTTCTGACCTCGGTCCGGGAAAAGTCGGGGTCCGGACAGGTTACGTCGTCGTTCGAGGTCCTCCACGTGCTGGCGTTCAACAGCACGCGCAAACGCATGTCGGTCATTCTCCGGAGTGCCAACGGCACGATCGAGCTGCTCTGCAAAGGTAGTTTTCGCAACGACGAAAACGAGGATGCGACGCGTCCCATGCCCGGTACTGTAGGCGCCGACTGCACCATTCTGGATCTCTGCAGCGATTTTGGGCCGCAGTCCAAAGCGTGCATCATGGACCACCTCAAGCAGTTTGCTCTCGAAGGCCTTCGCACTCTGTGCTTTGCGAAACGCGTGCTGGTAAGCGCAATGTTTGTTGTATCAAGAGGAACGGGTGCGACTGTATGCTTAGACGGACGCCGAGTACAACGCGTGGAAGACGCGCTATCAAGCCGCCGAGCTGCTCATGCAAGGCCGCGAGGCAAGCATGGACGCACTCGTGTGCGAAATCGAGCAAAAAATGACCTACGTGGCGTCGACAGGTCTGTACATTTTTTTACAATGCACAGCTTGTCAGCTATCGTGTTTGGAACAGCGATCGAGGACAAACTGCAAGATGGCGTGCCTGAGACCGTCACACGCCTCCTTCGCGCCGGCATCAAGGTACGCGTCGCCTTGAAAAATTGATAGTGGACACTACGCACGGGTAGATTTGGGTCTTGACCGGCGACAAGGTTGAGACCGCCGTGGAGATTGGCCGGTCGTGCCGCGTCATTGCCAAGGACATGGTTGAAGTTGTGCTCCAAGGCTCGACCGTCGCCGAGCTGGCCAAGAACTTAGCGCAGCTGCAGACACGCCCCATGACCGCTACGGTAGCCTGGGATATTGGCGTCGTCCTATTCAAGAAACGATTGGCGTAGGCGCCACGCTACGCGCTCATCATTGACGGCTTCTCGCTTTCGTTTGCGCTCATGCCCGCCAACCGACTGCACTTTTTACAATTCACGCTCGAGTGCGCTGCGGTTGTTGTCTGCCGCATGTCGCCGCTACAAAAAGCACTTGTCGTCGAGCTCGTGAAGGAGAGCGTGCCCGGCGTGACCATGGCAGTGTATGAGAATTTTGTTATCTATTTTCGAATGGTCCGTCGAGTCTCATCGGGAAAAAACACTCTAGTGGCGACGGGGCCAACGACGTGTCGATGATCCGCGCGGCCCATGTCGGCGTTGGTGTCTCGGGCCAGGAAGGCCACCAAGCCGTCCGCAGCGCCGACTTTGCGATTCAGCAATTTCGCCACCTTGATCGCTTGTTGCTCTATCATGGTGCGGAGTTTGCTTGCGATTTTGTTGGCATTTTTTACATGTATGGTTCAATATGCATAGGACGACTGTCATACTTTCGCGTGACGCAGTGCATCAACTATTTCTTCTACAAGAACATTTTGTTTACGGCGCCGCAGTTCATTTACGGCATGTACTCGCTCTTCTCGGGCACGGTGCGTGGTTATTCAATGTCTATTCGCACGCAACATCTCGTGTGTGTGTAGACGTATTACAGCGGGCTGTACATTCAAGCGTTCAACATGCTCTACACAGCCGCGCCCGTCGTCGTCCGCGCCATCATGGAGAAGCGTCTGCCCGACTCGCTCGCGCTGCAATTCCCTGAGCTCTATTTTCTCGGCAACTCCAACGTACGTTGTTTGACATGTGACAACCAAGTACACGTTGGGTGTTTCTAGCTCCTCTTTTCGCTACCGACGACCGTACTCATCAGCGCCATCGGCGTTGTCCACGCAATCGTCGTCACGACGCTTCCCCTCGTGGCCCTCGACGCTGCACAAGGCGTGCCGTATATTGACATGCATTGCGACGGCGTCGCGACCTACATTAGCATCATTTTGATTGTCACCTTGCTCATTTCGTTCGAGACATGGTACTTCGGTTCTTTCGTGGTCGTGCAACTGACTATATTATTGTGTTGTAGCTACTGGACGGGCTGGGTTACGTTCAGCTATGTCGGTTCGATCGTCTTTTTCGTCATCTCGGGGCTGATCTACGATGGCATGACGAGCGATTTGTATGGTGCGTGGGCACGGCTCACGGTCGCGCCCACGTTTTGGCTCACGATTGCATTGGCGCTCGCCATGTGCATTCTCCCGCTCTTAGCGCTGCAAGGGTTCCGTGAGAATTTTGCCGAGTGCATTGAGCCGGTCCATATCCTACGCCGCGCCAAGCTCTACGGCAAGGTGCGGGATATTCACAACAGCGAAAAGCAGCCTGGTCCGTCCACGGTTGGCGAGTAACGAGTCGACGACGACAACAACAACAAGAATTCGTTTTTGCTTGTAAAGTGACGCGTAACTATATAGTGCCCATGCGGAATTTCTGGTTTGTACGACGTTAGAACCGGTGCCGCCACGCTGCTGTGGAAGGCGGAGACGAGAGAAGGTTCTCAACGTAAACTAGTACGTTTGTATACGGCGTTGCGGTCGCACGTAAAGCCGTAGTTCAGCATCAAACTATCCGGCCTCTCGCTCATCGCAGCGTCCATTGTTATTGCTACCTTTCTGGCGGTATCTATCAAGTTGATACATTCGCCGATGGTTTCACGCATCATCTCGATATCTCAATATTACTACAGGGCGGCGTCAGGACTTTGATTGAGGCGGACAACCACCCTAGTCTTTGGATCAACGACAATTGAAAGAAATGGAGCAATGAAATGCACTTCCATAATTGTCCTTTATCATACTGTGATCGATGACTACAGTGCGCGCTAGGCTCACTAGGGCGAGACCTTGACGTCACCGCGGCAGTGGTACGTCTGCTCGTTGATCGCAGTCCACTTGTCGAGCGGGAGCTTGATCGGGTTGGCGCCGCTCTGGATCGACTCGAGGAGCATGAGGTCGTGCGACTTCATGTTCTCCATGCCCATAAGCTTCTTGAACTTGGGGTCGAAATCCTGGATCGTGCCGGGAAAGCAGTTTTCGTACAAAAGCGTCTGCACCTTTTCCATCTCGAGCTCGGCGTCCGAGACCGTGAGGTTCGAAGCGGCGCCCAGCTGCATCATAGCGCGCTGCCATACACGTTCGTTTTCGTTGTCTTGGCGGTGCGTGCTCGTGAGGACGTGCGGCGTGTCGACGATGACGGCGTCTTCGCGGTTGTTGGTGACGACGTTGTTGCAGTTGGTAAGCATGTCTTTGAGAAACCCGCTCATCTCGTAGTTGTAGCTGAAGGCGCCAAGCTGCGTCACGTCCGAGAGGTCGTAGTACTTGTTGGGGACACCGGCAAACCACGGCTTGGTGACCGCCGTCTCGTCGACGTTCCGGCTCGTGCCGTCTTCGAGCATGTTGACGACCGAGTTAGGACCGACGACTCGCCGGTCCACCGAGCAGCTCGAAAAGACCTTGGGGTCGTTCTTTGGGAGTCCCTTGGCGCGGCACTCAAAGTTGATGGTGTGGAGGAGATCGATGAGCGCGTGGTGCGACCAGAACATGGGTTCCTTGGGCGACGCCGCCGTCTTCATGTCACCACCGAGCATGTTGTGCACCGAGTTGTGCACGCGGCCTTCGATGCTGCTGCTTACATCGGCGAGAGTCGCTGCCTTGTCGGATGGAAGCACCGTCGCCTTGATGCTGATGGGACTCATGTCGGGCGTGAATGCGATCTTCGTCCAGTCGTCGCGATCCCACTGGAGCGACTTACGGGGCTTTGCAAGCTCGCGCGCAATGCTCGAACAAGCCGAGACAGACTTGCACTTGTTTTGACGAAACGCGACGCTGTCTTGAACGTAGTCAAAGTACGGGATCGTGACGCAGCCAAACGACGGGTCGAGGGACCGGAGCATGTTTTCAAACCCGAGAAGGAAGCGCCGGTGCCAGTAGAGAAAGACACACGAGTTATGGGCTTCAGACCACGTCATCTGGTTGACATGGATCTTGGCAAAGAGTGCGTAGTTGCCATTCGCCATGGCCGTCTCAATCGCCTTGTTGTACGTCGTCTTCTCTGTCTCCGAGTACGCGTTCCACGACTTGCGTGTGCGGGCGCACACCTGGGTGACTGTCTTCGGGGCCGCGGTTGTCGGTGTTGCAGTCGTAGGAGCCGCCGTGAGTCGGAGCAACCGTGGTTGGGCAGCAGTGGTGGGAGCAGTGGTCTTCGGGGCCATGGTCGTCGGAGGCCGCGGTCTTCGGGGCCGCAGTTGTCGGCGTTGCAGTCGGAGGAGCCGCCGTGGTCGGTGCAGCAGTGGTCGGGGCAGCAGTAGTCGGGGAAAGGGTCGGGGTCATCGTCGCCTTGAGCGTTGCAGACTTGGCACCGGGGGCGAACGACTTCGCGCCCTTTTTGTTCTTGAGCCAGCAAGTACCGCCTTCGTGAGCGTTCCAGACGTAGAGTTGGCAACCGGGCGTGTTCTTGCAGTCATCGCAGCAGTTTTCGGCCGTCGCACGCGCTGATCGTGCGATATCGTTGCCCCAGTAGTCGACATTATCTTCGACGATGCTGCAGTCCGATACAGGCAAACGCGTAGCAGACACCGCACCAAAGTAGAAGCCCTTGGCGCCTTGCTTGCTCTTGAGCCAGCACGTCCCGCCGTCATGACCGTTCCAGACAAAGAGGCGGCAGCCCGGCGTCGCCTCGCAGTCGGCGCAGCAGTCGGACGCCGACGCCCGAGCGGTACGACCGACGTCGTTGCCCCAGTAGTCGACATGCTCTTCGACCGCCGAGCACTGGTTCGGTACGGTGATATCGTTGATAACCGAGGCCTTGGCGCCGGGAGAGTACGACTTGGCACCCATTTTGTTTTTGAGCCAGCAAGTACCGCCCTCGTGGTCATTCCAGACGAAGAGGCGGCATGCCGGCGTGGCCTTGCAGTCGGCGCAGCAGTCGTCGGCCGATTTGCGCGCCGTGCGACCGATATCATTGCCCCAATAGTCAATGTTGGCTTCAATTGGCGCGCACATGGGCACCGCAGCCATCGCGTGGAGCACAAGCGCCAGGACACCGGCAAGCACCGATGTTTGCATGATCAGCAACTTCGTCAAGTGAGCGATGTAGCAAAGTCGCTTGTTGTAGCCAGGACCACGGTGCAAAATAGACGCAGCGACATCCGTTGAAAGCTTGCGCCAGACGTCAAGCTGCTGTATTCTAGTGTACGCAAGTCATGTCGTCCATAGAATATCCAAGTACGGCGCGATCACAACCACGAGTTGGCGTCAAATCCGGCGAGGCTGATAGAGGATTCGTGCTGCTCCAATGAAATGGTAGCTTTGCAATGTTCGTTGAAGGTGGTAATGCAACGCGCCATGCGCGTGTAGTACGTCGCAGCTCCTATGGCCTGCAAACGACGTGGTCTCGGCTTGGGTCTCGGCAGTGGTCTCAGAGAACGAAACTGTTTACCCTTTGTTTGCGTCTCGAGTTGGTTTTTTCAACATGTCAAAAGTTATGCCTCAACACGCTCGGGTGATCAAAGCTTAAGCGTACAGGTCGCTCATGGGATGAAGGATGGCGTGGCCAGCATCTTTGCCGAGTCGTACATTGCATATGCCGTTGCCTGCACCATCTGTGCAAACGTCTATCATGCGCCGGATCTGGAGACAACCCGCGCGCATATATTTATACGTATGTAATGTATTGAAAACCTCGTTGGGCGTCGCCTTTAACACCGCGGACGTGGCCGGCACTTGGCTCGTCGCGCTGTGGTGCCATCTTTTGACGCGTCACTGGCCGCTCTCCGCGACGACTCTTGGTGTGCACGCTACCCGGTCCCTCGCACAATCTCGAATCACGACCACTAACGCTTCTCGCTAACGCACCGGCCAAGCCTCACGGGCGCATTAGGAAGTCCACCATATCTTTGTAATTGCATGTAATATAACTCAGTTCAACAACACCGCGGACGTGATGATGAAGAATGAATGACTTGTTTTGTGAAACGGACAAGGCTTCCAATTTGCAAAACCTGCAGGAAGAGTATTCCCGTGCTGGTAACCGCAACCGTGGGCCCTGGACGCCGCCTTGGTGTTGTGCCAGAGCTGTGTACACCACAGCGCGAACCAGTAACAGTATCAGTTTGCACCGACCTATTATAGTCCCTTGTAGGGCCCGATCACCTTGAACATCTGTTTTACCGTCTGTTGCGGCGCGAAGAATTCATACCAAGAATTAGTGTTGTTCCACTCAATCAACGGCGCGGAGATGGTTCAACATCAGATTAATCCTTCCTGACGGTAGTTGAGCCATCTCGGCTAATCGACTCATTAATATGCTTAGCCGAGAAGGCTTCACATCTGGTCAACCCCGCAGTTGCACACAACACTATTCACAGTCTCGCGACACAACGTGATACATGACGTGGCAAGACAAGAGGGGTGTCTCGAGCCCTGCGCATATTCCTCGATGCTCGGGAAGCTAGCGTGGTGGCGTATCGAGCGTACTACAGCAGCTATTTGTGTAGGTTCACAGCTACTGACCGATTGTACTCGAGACTTGTTCAATCTGTGGGCAGCACGGCGTTCCATTTCATCGTACTAGTATTTTTCTACAAGCGGTACCGACGCAAAGCAGGCGGGGGATGGACGTCACTCGCGCCGCTGCCGTGCGACTCGAGGCACAAGAGGTCATTGCGTGCACGAAGTGGAGGATACAATGACGGACGGCGACGGCTTGTCGTCCTCTTCATCTTGGCCTTGGCGCTCAAGATTTCAGTCGTGCTGCCTCAACACTTGGACTTTGACGCTCACGAGGTCCATCGAGCCGCACGGTGCGCCTCACTGTTGGCATTTGGAAGAAGCCGTTGTACCTCTGGCGGCGCATCGCACCGCGAACCTGCCTGGCGAGTGTTGCGGCTCGACGTCTATGGGAACGAGCACGTGTGTCAGCAATAAGATGGCATCAAAGAAGAGGCCACCGCCATGCTGTCGGGGTGTGATGCGTGAAGTCAACCACTACATTCTGAATTGGTCTGCTCACGAGAACGGCAAATACCACGATACTACAGTAGCAACAAGGTCATGTGTTGCATGGCCTTGCTGAGAAGAGCAAAAGGATGGCGCCGACGGTCGCTTGGTGCGAATTCATGGTGCCCAATATGAGCGACGTTGATGTTTTTGGGATTTTGCTAACGTGGTGCGTCCTTCGGATGCTGTCCGAGGGGCCAAAGACCGTAATCTTCGCCCCTTAGCTCGGTCAATCAAGAGCGCTCTATGTGGATTGCCCATCCCCCAGTATACAGTGCAGGGCTGTTGGAGGCAGAGAGGGTCACAGCACGATGTACACGTGATCGGTCGAGCCATCCGTGCGCAGCTCACTCCCAACGACCAAGTGCTGGTGCCAACTCCCACGCATTCAGGCATAGCACTACGTACGCGAAGTCTTTGAGTTAGTTTTCGCTAATTTGATTTCAACGCGAGCACGTTTGAAAAGGTCGAGCCAGAAGCAGAACGAACCACGTGCCTCGTTCCACTTCGACGACGAAATGACGGGCTTTATGACTACATCTGCGTATACTCGCCACCGACTCCACTCACTGACTTCTGTTTCGAGGCAGGAGGGTCACTTCGCAAGAATTTCGTGTCGGGTGTTTACATGACAGTATATTCTTATGATTGTACGCGAATTAGTTGACCTATTCTAGGACCTTGACGTCACCGCGGCAGTGGTACGTCTGCTCGTTGATCGCAGTCCACTTGTCGAGCGGGAGCTTGATCGGGTTGGCGCCGCTCTGGATCGACTCGAGGAGCATGAGGTCGTGCGACTTCATGTTCTCCATGCCCATAAGCTTCTTGAACTCCGGGTCGAAATCCTGGATCGTGCCGGGAAAGCAGTTTTCGTACAAAAGCGTCTGCACCTTTTCCATCTCGAGCTCGGCGTCCGAGACCGTGAGGTTCGAAGCGGCGCCCAGCTGCATCATGGCGCGCTGCCAGACACGTTCGTCGGCATTGTCCTTGCGGTACGTGGTCGTGAGGACGTGTGGTGTGTCGACGATGACAGCGTCTTCGCGGTTGTCGGGGACGACGTTGTCACAGTTGGTGAGCAAGTCCTTGAGGAACCCACTCATCTCGTAGTTGTAGCTGAAGGCGCCGAGCTGCGTCACGTCCGAGAGGTCGTAGTACTTGTTGGGGACACCGGCAAACCACGGCTTGGTGACCGCCGTCTCGTCGACGTTCTGGCTCGTGCCGTCTTCGAGCATGTTGACGACCGAGTTCGCATCGACCTTGGCAGCGCCGCTGCGCACTGAGCAGCTCGAAAAGACCTTGGGGTCGTTCTTCGGGAGTCCCTTGGCGCGGCACTCAAAGTTGATGGTGTGGAGGAGATCGATGAGCGCGTGGTGCGACCAGAACATGGGCTCCTTGGGCGAAGACGACGTCGTCATGTCAGCGCCGAGCAAGTTGTGCACCGAGTTGTGGACACGGCCTTCGATACTCTTGCTCACATCGGCGAGCGTCGGCGACTGGCCCGACGGCAGCACGGTCGACTTGATGTTGACAAAGCTCATGTCGGGCGTGAATTTGGCGGTCGCCCAGTTGCCGCGGCTCCACTGGAACGACGTCTTGAAGCCCGTGAGCTCGCGCGCAATGCTCGAGCAAGCCGAGACAGACTTGCACGACCCGGCGCGGAATGCGACGCTGTCTTGAACGTAGTCAAAGTACGGGATCGTGACGCACGCAAACGACGGGTCGAGGGACTGGAGCATATTTTCAAACCCGAGAAGGAAGCGCCGGTGCCAGTAGAGAAAGACGCACGTGCCGTGGGCTTCATACCACGTCATCTGGTTGCGGTGGATCTTGGCAAAGACGGCGTAGGTGCCATTCGTCATGGCCGTCTCGATCGCCTTCTTGTACGTCGTCTTCTCCGCCTCCGTGTAGGAGTTCCACGACTTGCGCGTGCGGGCGCAAACCGGGGCCGTGGTTGGTGCCACCGTCGGGACAGTCGTCGGGGCGACAGTCGGCGCGACCGTCGGGGCAGCCGTAGGGGCAATCGTCGGGGCAACCGTCGGGGCAGCCGTCGGGGCAATCGTCGGGGCAACCGTCGGCGCGACCGTCGGGGCAGCCGTCGGGGCAGCCGTCGGGGCAACCGTCGGGGCGACAGTCGGGGCGACAGTCGGCGCAACCGTTGGGGCAGTTGTCGGCGCGTCGGTGGGCGCTTGCGTCGGGGCATCGGTGGGAGCCTGCGTCGGGGCCTGGGTAGGCGCATCGGTCGGCGCTGGCGTCGGCGGGTACGTGGGCTTGGCCGTGGAGGGGCTGGGCGTCGGGCTAGGCAGCGATCGCGACCCGGATGTCGCGCCCCACACACCGTTGTAGCGCACGGCGTCCTTGCTGTGCATCATGCACCAGCCAAGGTACGACGTGAAGCGTTCGCAGCGCGGGTTGGCGTCGCAGTCGGCGCAGCAGCCCGCGGGCGTGAAGCGGAAGGTTGACCCAACGTCCGCGCCCCAGTAGTACGTGTCGGCCTGGAGCCGGCTGCAGCTCGAGGGAGCGGTCGACTTGAGCGTCGCCGACGTCGCGCCCCAGAGGCTCCGCGCCGTGCCCGTGCTCGCCTTGAGGTAGCACGTGCCGTAGTAGTGGACATAGGCAGCGCAGCCGTCGGTGTTTTGGCAGTCGGCGCAGCACTCGGACGCGAAGAAGCGGTAGCTCTTGGCAATCACGTCGCCCGGAAGGTCAGTGTTGTACTGCTGGCCTCTGCACTGGGACGAGAACGTCGCGCTCGCGGCGCCCGCGAGAAGAAGCAGAAGGGATACCTTCATACCGTTGTGTGTACGAGGTAGAGAAAGGGGCAATGGCAAATCGAAGCCGAGAGGCAGACCCATGTACGCGCCAGCATTTTGCACGATGTGATATCCGGTCGCGCCATCTGGTGGAATTTGATCAGGCGCCGCCTAGACAGGCGGCTTCCAGAGATCCGTTCGCAATGTTCCAACCCACAAACGCGCGTGGCGTCACGCGTGATACCAGAAAACCAGAAAACCGGTACCAGAACGGCAATCTCGGAACGGCAATCTCTCCTACCATACACTGTACTCGATACACTGCTTTTGCCAAATTGCACTTGGTCACCTCAATCTCGTCGAGCAAAAATGTCGTCGTGGGCCGAGACGAACGCGACATCAAATACCGAAAATGCACATTATGCGGCAGAGGTGCGTCGGTACAGAGAGGTGGACGAGGCACCCAAACACGTGCGTTGTCCCACAGTACTTGCGAGAGCCAGTGCGCTGGATGCCCTAGGCCACGACGTTCGAAATGAGCCCATGCGCGATTGAAGTCGTCGCATGCGGTATGACGCGCGGGTGTGTCGGAAGGGGATGAGGACCTGGTCGGTGCGAGCCGGCGGTGTTGGTATATTCCCAACATGGTGCAAAATTTCAACGCCGTCCAAAGGCGACGTCGATCTCGCCCGACGACGACTGCAGGCGGCGTCCCGTCCTATGACCATCCATCGACGGGTGAAAGAACTCGAGATGATCGGAGGATACTCGCCGCCGCGTCGATGCGGCAGATCCGTCGTAGACCAGACGTTTCCACGTTGACGCGACCGGAACGTTATGCAAATTATAAAAATAAAATAAAATTGTGGCGCATTTTTACGCGTTCGAGTGTGTGTGCCACCGCCTCTGCGCGCTACTACAAGATGGAAACGCTGTTCCATAGCATTCGGTGGATAGCCCGCGCGCATAGAGGTGCAGCGATTGCGAGCACAGCGGGCTGCATACAATGAATGATGCTGCCTTCTACTTGTCAGCCCAGCAGATCCTCCATCAATAGTGAAGCGCACACCAAAGCTGCCAACGTTTGCATGCTGAAACGGCGTAGAACGACCAACAAGGTGTTGGGGTAAAATACCGAGAACACTCATTTCTACAACAACGTCCAACAAGGTGTCGAGGAGCTTCTACGCGACGCACTCGCGTTGGCATTGTCGTAGACGTGCTTGCAGTTTCTTGAAACCCGATAGTGGTATGCGTTGTGCTGCGTTCGAGCGGTGTCTTCCGTCACCTCAACCAAATGACCTCAACCTGGTGCGTCCTCATCAGGAGCACACACGGGGATGGTATGGTCGCCTTGCGATCATGCCGCAACCAGCGACCCACGGCATCCAAATAGCTCGTTCTTGCATCGCGTATTACACCTGGTCGAGTTGGCGGAGCGGGTTGTCACGCTGCACCGCCACGTGGCTCGCGGTCGGGCGACGCATCGGGTCGCGCACCATGCACGCTTGCGCGAGCTGCGCAAAATAGCTGCGTGGGCAGCTTTCGTTTACTAGCGACGGGCGCCCGTGCTATCGCGAGCAGGAGCATCGTTTCCGAGATGGGCCGATCGTTGTTGTTGACGACATCCGCATACGGGGACACGATGCGTGTCGAGCTCGGCGAGGATATCGATGCTTTCGCTGTCGACGACGAGTTCCTCGGGCGCCAATCAGCGAAACGTTCGCCGGAAATCATGCGTGCGACCGAGACGATTGCGCAAGCCAGCGTTGCGATCGAGCTCTCGAACCACGGCACTAGTCGTTGTGCAATCCGTCGACGTTGGAACGAAGCCGTCGTTAAGCCAATGTCCTTTTGCCGCTTGGGTATGTCGAATAGGGTTAATGGCTATCGACCTCCAAAATCGACCTGGTTGTTCCCCCTTTCTTGCGTTTGTGTCAATTATCCGTGGTCAGCGTTTAGGACGCTCTGGATGCGTGCAACAAATACTTCGTCGCACGCTACATTTGCGGCCCGCCTTGTACGCACGTCGTCATTGCTGCAACTATAATCGCTTGTCGTCTATGGGGGCCAGCGAACACGGCGTCGCTGGGCCTTTGACCTAGCTCAATGCTCCGATCCAAGACTACAGAAATGGTACTAGTATTGTTCTGTCTATCGCAGTGGCGCCTATGAAATGCGGGAAAGTGTCTAGTGTGTTGAGACCTCATTTTCGACAAAAATTGGTCGGTCCATCGCCACTTCACCTTATTCTTTTTCAATCGATTCCAACACACCGCGCAACGTAGCAACACACCGAATGCACCTACAATCCGTCGACGTAGGAATGAAACCGTCACCGAACCGATATTCTTCTATCGCATCGGGTTATGCCAATGGGTACATCGATCTCCTTGGCCGACCTCTTTGCTCCTTTCTTGGGCGGGATGCGATTTCGTGATTCTCCGTGGTCTCTGATCATGACGCTCTTGTTGCGTACTGCAGTGCTGGACTATGAGCAGTGAATACCTTGTTGCGGGGTTTTGTTGCAACTTGAATCGCATTCCTAACCCAACAGAACGCCAACGAACACGACGGTGCCGCTCGTCGAGACCTGAGTACGATAAACAATGCAAATGAATAGTACACCAATGCAGTTGGCAAGAGCGTTCAATAATCTATGGGTTGCCGGCGGGTCGACAAAGCCGGCTAAACCTTTGGAAGTTGATAACACCGTGTGGCAGTAGACGCCTTTTACAGTGGTTGAGCACGGGATACTTATCTATGCACAGCTCTCCAACCACAAGGTCGGAACAAGGCGATGTGTTTGTATCGAGAAACCGTTGGGATGGGACTGTACAGAAGCCTGTGGTCAGGGCTTCAGCAGTCAGTTCGCGCTTCCTTGACCCGCACCGTTTTAGGTCGCACCAAGGTCACGTGGCCGAACGTCCTGTACCGCAACCTCCAGTCGCTGACGCCGCCTCATTTGCTGGTGTCTCTGAATGACCTAAAGAACGGCGTAGCTTTGCCGTCGATGGCTACGCCTTGTCGTCATGGGTCTCACTCGCGGCCGCAAGCACCCCCGGGTGACTACTAAAGAGCGAAATGCGCCCCGCGCTGCCGCCTGCGCAGCCACGACCCGGCGAGCGAATAAAGAAGGAGATTGCTAGTCTCTACCAAGGACAGAAATTACAGTATCCTTGTGTCTACATATGCAAAGTCTTTGTATTAACAACGAAGCTAACGCGATACTACAATGTAGTACATAAAGCTCGAGCCATATGCTCGACTGCTTGTGGACACCCCTAAAAATTGATATCGGGCCTTTCCCTTGGATTCATGATGCTGGTGGTCCTAACCATGAAACATTATCTTGATTTGACTATGAACGCATCGTGGCCCTGGGAGGAAGGACGCCACATTTCGGCAAATTTGGGTGTCAAACCTCGCTCCTGGCAAACTACCTAGGGTTTAATACCTAGCGTACTAGAGTCAAAGGTTGAAGTTCAAGAAGTTTCTACTCTGCGGTTTTCAAGATGATTGCATTGCACACTTCGATTGACGTTCCAACCCAATGGTGGTCCCAACCCACGCGCCAATGGCCAGGTCCGATTGCACGCAGGAGGCGCCGTGCTACGACCCGGTCAACAAGGAGTGCGTTGCCGGCGATCGCGCGCGCGACAACGGTGCCGGGCTCGTCTTCTGCGCGCCGCTCGTCGGATCCTGCACGTACAAAGGGTGGTGCTACGACGTGAACTCACGCTGCGTCTGCACGGGCGTGCGTCCGTGTTTCAAATTCACACAGGCGTACGGAACGGTCTGCGTGGCAGAAAATGCCGAGTGCACCGCCGGCACGAGCATCTACAACGAGCTCTGTCCTCCTAGCGATGTCACGGTCTCGCCGACGTCAGCTCCCACGTCCAGTGGCGCAACCACAAACAACGCGTCGACACCGACATCGACAAGACAACCTTTATCATGGACGCCCACACCGACGCCCACACCGACGCCCACGCCGACGACTAGCCATGTGGCCTCTTCGTCGGGGTCCAGTTCGTTTTCGACGATCTTCACCGTCGGTGGCGTCATCCTCAGCGTCGTGGTCGTTGCGTACGTGATCCTCCGGAAGCGTTGTCGCCAGCGCCCTGCGCCGGTGCAGCAATACCATGCGTACGAAGAACCGGCAGCCGACCGACCGCTGACGCCCGTGTATGCCTACCCCATGGCGACCCAGTCGTACAAGCCATCAACGGCAACGACCCACGCTACGAGCTCGACGCGAACGACGACTGTGCACTCGACGCAATCAACGACACCGGCGGTAGCCGCCATGGATCCCGGCGCCTTCAACATGAGCGACTTGGAGATGTATCGCATCTCGGGCGCCGACGTCACGGTCGTGAAAACGCTTGCGAGCGGCGGCTACGGCGTCGTGTCGCTTGCGACGCTGCATGGCGCGCGCGTCGCGCTCAAGAAGCTCACGGCTGAGAAGGAGTGGTCGTCCGAGGACGTGGCCAAGTTCATCGCCGAGATCCGGCTCATGACCAAGTATTATGCCACCGTCTGTCCTTGTCATCGTGACCGCTCATGGTGGTGACGTAGGATGTCGTCACTTTTTATTGTCGGCTTTGTGGGCGTTGTGTGGACGCGACCGACCGACGTCATGCTCGTGACCGAGTTCATGGACGCCGGCGACCTCCGCGACGTGCTCCAGAGCCAACCCGACTTGCTGTGGGCGACCAAGCTCTCGATTGCCTTCGATATCGTCCAAGGGCTCGTCTACCTCCACACCCTCGAGCCCAAGGTGCTGCACCGCGACCTGAAATCCCGCAACGTGCTCCTCAACACGAGCATGGCGGCCAAGCTCACGGACTTCGGCATCTCGCGCGAGCTGGACGACGCGACCATGACCGCCGGCATCGGCACGTACCGCTGGATGGCGCCCGAGGTGCTGCAGGAAGGCCACTACGACGAGTCGGCCGATATCTATGCGCTCGGCGTGCTGCTCACCGAGATCGACACGCACGCTGTGCCGTACGCAAACCTGCGCAACGCCAGCGGCCGGCCGTACACGGACACGGCGATCATGGCCAAGGTCATGACCGGCGAGTTCCGACCGAGTTTCTCGCATGCAAGCCCGGCCTGGTACCAAGAGCTCGGCGTTGCGTGCATGTCGCAAGACCCAACGCTTCGACCCACCGCGATGCAAGCGGCCTCGACGTTGCATCGGGAAGTTCGCCGCGTCGAGGGAAAGTAATATCGTTTCAGTGAGCGTCGTTGATTCTTTTAGACGAAATGCGTGGAGGATCGAGGTACTAACGCTACTGTGTCGCGACCGCCGTCGCCGTGAGCAGTACCGACCGCCACCGCAGTTGTCGCAGCGGAGTGGTTCCAGGTCACAATCACCGTCGTCACAACGGTACAATCTCGCCACCGCCGTCGTCGTTAGCAGTGCCGACCGCCGCCGCCGTTGTTCCAGAAGAGCGGTTGTCAATCGTGGCCACCGTCGTAAATCCCGAGCGGTGTTGTGCCGTCGCCGCCATAGTCGTGGCCACCGTAGATGAGGCGAAGCAATGTCGATGCTGCCGTCGTCACGGATCGCTACCGTGTCGCGACCGCCGTCGTCAGGAGCAGTGCCGGCCGCCACCGCCGTTGTTCCAGCGGAGCGGTATTGGGTCGTAGCACGATAGCCTGTCGGTACCTGTCGTGCCTGGGCAGTACCGACTACAGGCGCCGCTGTGATCGCCGCCGCACGTGACGAGACATGCATCGTCGTTTGGTTCCTGCGTTCTGAGGCTCTTTGCGGGAGCCGAGGAGAGATGATGGCCCAAAAAGCGCTTTTTATCGAGAGGCCGCGGGCGTGAAACATACGATGCTCGTCCGTGCCTTGGCCATGATCTCTTGTCTTCTTTGGTACCTTGGACGGTTTTTCGCTGGCTTGTCGTTCGGCACCAACAAATTCTTACAAATCTTTGAATCCTGACAGAACTGCCCGAATCGACAGTGCATCCACGGCCACGTCTATCAACGAGAAAGATTGATCGTCAGGCTCTCGCCACAAACGATCTCAAACTTCAAATTGACTTATGGACTGGTCCTTGTTTCGCACGGTCTTTCTCGCGCGGCACGAAGGCGCCATCGATGAACTCCATCGTCTGTCACCCTCGGGGACCACGCTCTTGGCGGTTGTGGACAGTCGACTGGTGCGCTACGCCTGCTGCGCGCTGGTCCTCCTCGGCGGCGTCTATGTTGTCACGACCCGACTACCGCTTCTGACGTACGTTGCTGCCCTTTATACGAGCATCGTGGGCATTTCGTTGGCCCATGCGCTGGGAATGCCCGTGCAGTACGAAGCTGTTTTGGCGCCGCTCGTGGCGGCGGTCGCCGGCTCCCACCCACGCGTCGGCCGCGTTGCGTCTGTCCTGCTCTGGAGCGCCACAGTGTGGACCCAGCTCTACGCGTCGACGTTGCCGGCGCTGATGAAAGATGCAGCTGCAGAAGCACAGGGTCTCTTTGCCATACCTTTTCTTTTCCGCGGCGGCGAGTTTGCAGATATCTTGTGCCTTGCGAGCGACTCGGTACTATCCTTCCTCGGTATCTGTGCCATTGTCCTCTACATGCACTGACATGCGCTGGCCATCGATGCGACGCCACGAAAGCACCGGATTATCCAGATAAAACGGTACAGTGGTTGGCAGCATAACACTTTCAGAATAACACTTTCGGTACGGTACCTGCTGTGTACTTTCAGTACGGCGTTTTCGGTATAAGCTTACTCGCAGTCTGACATGCGATTGCTGCGAAATGTAACAATCACATCAAAATTTATTTTGCATAACCAAGATAGCTTCGCAGCCATCTACACCAAACGTACGAGTAGCTCAAAAACATGTTCTCAAATACTATAGCTAGGCATGAATTAGGGACTGTGTAGGTGCTATTTATCGCTGTGAACGACTATAGTAAGCGTTGGCGACGCTTTTACTTTTTGTTTGCAGACGTTGTGAGGTTGTAATCGCAGTGGTAGCTGTAGGAATGGATGAAGTGGCCACGTGGTGACATGAGGGGAAACCGCCACTGAGGGCTGGTGAAACCCACTCGGATCCACGAGCGGTTGGACATAACGGCTAAAAGATATCAACAGTCGAGGTTATCGAGTTGGCGATCGAATATGTGGCAGACATAACAAGGTGCTATCACGTTAGTTGATGCACACCATAACTCCATGTACCATGGTATCCTTGCTAGCAGCTCATAGTGATAGGTCTAGAGTTCAGTTGAATAGACACCACCAGTGTGAGTGATTCCTGTGACAGAAAACACATGTGATATGTGGCTGCCAACGGCGCTTGGAGAAACGCAATCTAGCCGCGCATCGGCGATCACCTTTTACAGTACCAGTTCATGTACAAGAAATCGTTCTAGATAATGTAGTATGTGGACCTTTCTCACGTGTGGGTGATGCACTAGCTTGCTATATTTGCCGTGGTGATTCACCGTTTAACGAGGATCAATCGAAAAGTGATTTAATTAGTCGATACTGGCGGCTTGGCCTGGCGTGTGGTGCAACCTGCTTACTAGTAGGGGTGCTTCTCTCTATTTTAGAATATTGTGTGGACTGTGAGACTTGAGTGGATATATGAACTGTTGGGTGGTAGCAACTGTCAGCTGCGACTGTCGTGCCGTCTTGCAACAAAAAGCCAGATTCGTATCCAACGTGGACACGACAAGTCAAACTTTGTTACCGGTACACAGCCACGACACGCTTATTGCAACGCTACGTAAAGCACAATTCGTGTGTAATGCTGGTCTGTTGGTCAGTTGTGTTTTATTTACAGTATTGTGGCGTCCATGCATGGCGTCCATGTGTACGGGTAACACGCAGCAAGGCCGCGCCAGTGTTGTTTTATGTTCGCGGAGCGTTCCAGGCACCTGCACAACGAACCTCTCCCCAACCAACCCCAAAACAAAGACGTCCAAGCCCCGCAAATACATGAATCCACCCGCCCCTTCAACTCAATCTCTTTCCGCCCGCTCTGCTTGTCCTCTACCCCTAGCCCTAACCCAATCCGGGAAGAATCAGGGAGCAACGGAGCAACATGGATGCTACGAACTCGCGAGCACAAAACAAAATTCCAGGTCGCGTGATTGTCGCTAGCAAATGGCTCCGAACTGCCGTCACGTGTGCAGCGAACCCTTTCAACCCCAACTCTACTACGCAGCACAGTTAATAAGGATGTCATCTCGTTAGAATCAATGTAGTCCGATTGATTGAGCTTTAACTGCGCATCGCCACACATTTCAGATACTCGTACAGGTCTCATGCGCCTAGAGAGGTCGCCATCCGACTGGATCCCGACTGCGCTGTCAATCGTGTGGCAAGGCGCTTAGTCATGTCATCATTGCTGCCTTGCGCCGCTTCTCACAACGCCTGGTCGCATACGCATCGCCGATAAACTTCTGCAGCTAGTTTGGACTTGGTTGGTCAACAAATCAAAATGAAGTCGCCCAGACGGGTGTAGTCTATTTATGCGCAAAGCAGATGCTATCAGTGGCAAATTCTGGGCGACAAGTTCAGCAAGTTGGGTGCACAGCTGCTCTGGGCGTTTTACACTTTGCACATGACCAACCAATTCCAAAAGACTTCGAAACGTGCGCACAAGCCACAGTACAGAGCGCAGGCAAGCCCGCCACTCTTTGACGCCCTGCTCAAATTTAGGTCCATCTCCCACTCTTAACCATTCCATGCTTCAAAAATGAAGCGTTCACGTCTCAAGTTTCCTACGCCCTCTCAAAATCGTCGATCCCAGAACGAGCGAGATTCGTGCACACTGCTAACCTTTTATACGTCTAGACAACGCAAAGTCGTCCAATATGATGACAGGTCGTTCTTAAAAGTCATTTACTCTTTCCTACTCGAGCCTCGAAGCAAAGCTATTAATAGTACTGCTGCCTACGTGCATATCCCAAAACTCTAGATTACTGTCGACCGTGATGCAGGACATCCTGCTATTTTGAAGTTATTCTATATAGACGAATATAAATACGAAAGCCTGGAGCAATGTGTTTCGCACTAACTTGATGTTACAAGAACTTATCATACGCAAAGGCTAGTAACCTCCTTCTTCTTCTGCTTGACTCGCTCACTGACGTGCCTTTTACTTTACTCACTCACTGGATCGTGGCTACGCAGGCAGCGGCGAAAGCCCGTCTTGACCTTCGGCGGCCCAATGTTCCCAAAATTAAAATGCCACAATTTATTTCGTTTCCTCTCACATTTATCATCCTATCAAATCAATGGCGTATCCACTCGGCGCCTACACTGCGTCCGCTGTCCTGCAAAAGGTGATCGCCGGCTCAGGTCAGGGCTCAGGTTGTACTCGCCACACAGCACATGTTTTGTACGGCACATGTGTTTGCTGTCCCAGGATCCCTCACACTGGCTACATGTGGTTGTCTGGACTCTGCGCCTATCGCTAAGGACCACTTGTTGAACCGAAGGGCAACATCCGGCGCGTACCCGTAGACAGGTCCACATATCATGCGTGCGTGCATAAACGGGCTGCCGCCTCGGGAAAATTACACCAACCTTGCACATTTCGTGGCTCTCGACCATTTTCGATTTCGCTTCATCTCGCTCAACAACCCAATTCGCATCATGGTGGCTGCACCGACGCTCCTCTCGCTCGCGCTTCTCGTCTCGGCCGTCTCGGCGCAGTCGACGCCGTCGTGCCCGCCCCGCGTCCGCAAGTCGTGGAACCGCTACTCGGAGACCGAGAAGACCACGTACAAGAAGGCGGTCGCCAAGGCTATGGACACGCCGCTCTATGAGCGGTTCATCTCGATGCATTCCGAGCAGATGAGCAACAAGGAGGCTCACGGCACGTGCGTCTTTCTTTTCTGGCACCGCAAGTTCCTTCTCGGCTACGAGAACCTCCTCCGCAGCATGGGCCCCGAGTACGCTTGCGTCACGCTGCCGTACTACGACTACGTGCAAGACAACGTCGCGTACGGCGCCAAGAAGTGCACGAGCATCGAGTCGTGCTCGTCCATTTTGCGCGATATGGGCGGCTCGACCGGCGTCGACAAGTCGATCCCGATTGGTCGCTACTCGGTCGCGGGTCGCTGCGTCGCCAACGAGCCGGTGAACCATTTTTGCGAGTCGAAGGCGAGCTGCGCCAAGTGCGTGCCCCGGGGTCCGTGGTCCACGACGACGTTCAACCCGGACCTCGGGTTTAGCAACATCAAGAACCAAGTGTTTGGTGGCAAGGACATCGCCGCGACGACCCGCCTTATTGAGTCGACGCCGCACAACAGCATGCACGGGACGCTCGCAGGCGCCATGAACAACGTCTTTGTCTCGCCGACCGAG